TTATCATACGCCAATTTCATGCAATTACAAGCTTCATTTACATCAATTTATTCACTGAGGTATTGTAGAAGAGATAGTTCTTTTTTTATATTTTGTTTTATTAATTTTACTCAAGCATCAAACGAAATTAGTATAGTTTTAAGACTGATTTGACCTAAATGTTGATATTTCATAAGATCTTTGTAATTGTTAATGTCAGTTGACATGAAGAAAAAAACAACATATGAAGATAAAATACTTGTTTTTTTCTTTCTATATGATGTCTTTTCGTGCCCCACAAAAGTTTGTTCATCTTTTTTTTTTTTTTTACTCTTATAGTTAAATGACTGGATAATAAAAAGTACAAATGAAATGGAAAAGGAAGATGATTGAAAAAAAAATATTAGTAAGCTACTGATATTTTGAAATTCTATTCAACATCTTATCTTTCAAGAAAAAATACATTGGCATACTTTTCTTAGATTTTGCCCTCAACGAAAAAGCTAATACTAAATTAAGATACGTGATTGATTAAAAAGTTAATTTATATTCAATTCACTTTTGAGAAATGACGAAAACTTAATGCGTCGATAGAAAAATGAACTGAATCTACTATTTAGAACAATTACTATCTCAATTACGTTACATTATAAATATTGATAGAGATTTATACTCCAGATAATATAATATAAGTCACAGAAATAATAACTGAAATAGAGAAATGATGACAATGCATTTTTTAGGGATATTTTTGACAGAATAAATAGTCAAAATAATAGATTCCTTCATTACAAATTCCGAAAGTAATGTATGTATTATTGAAACAGCACAAAATCAATAATTCATTTTTGCGGAATGTGTAAAAATTATGCACCTTCGCTATATTTTAGTAGCACATGCAAAGTTTCGATTGGTAGATTAACATGAGAGATGATGACACACGTGAATTAAATTCCAACATAATTTAGTATTATTTTTCTAGTGAAGATAAAGTTTGATCTGCTCACACTGGTAAGCCTTAGTTGTCTATTTTCCCATAGGTTTTTTTTTAAGTATTTTGTAGATACTCTATAGTTAACTTTTATTTATGGTTACAATTAAGAACGTTTGAGTAATCTTTGTAAAAAGAAAAAATGACGTTCATTATTTTGAAAAACATGAATAGATGTCTCTCTATGTGATTTTATTACAGCCAAGGGTTTGCAATTATTCACAGTAGAGATCACAGTAGTTAATTATGCTAACAAGAAAGAAAATAAAAATGGCTAAGACAAAAATATAATATAATGAACATTCTAACAATATCGAATTTTTCTATGCAAGCATCTTTTCAATTAACCCAATTGTAAGTTGCCTAGAGCAAGTGCATTAGAGGATTCGTTATAAAAATAATGTACTGAGTCAACTGTATATTTATAGTAGATCACTGTGTTCTTTTCGTATTTGATTATATATTTAATCATCAGATATACAGTGATTGGTGCCAAGAGTAAAGAATCAAAAATATGATTTTATTTTTATTACTTCTCGATAATTAATAAAAAAATCTTCTAATCAATTCAGCATGTGATGTAGTGATATAAACTGTGACAAGAAATACAAATTAGTGTTGAATGTACCTAGTGTGGCGACATCTGAATTTTCTAGCAATGTCTGACAAAGAGATTGTGATAGAAATATATTAAATTAAACAGTATATTCACATAAATATATTATTTCTTTTTAGGAAAGATGAGTTTCAGTCAAAGAATAATGTTATGCCAGAGTGACATTTTAACACGAATGCAAAAGATTGTACTTGAGTAGTATGATGCAAAGAAGAGATGTCACTAAAATCAATTTTCTAATTTTAGTTGATCAAAAGAATTTAATATCATCTATAATCTGTATTAGAGATGCATTTCATATAATATTAATATCAGCTTTTTTAAACGAGTTTCATTATCAATGCATCAATGGGTTTACATTACGACATTGATTTGATGATTCATACATATGCGACTGTAGACTACATTAGTTAAGTTTTTTTTTTCATAAAGAAAGAGTAGTTAAGAGAAAAACATTATTCGAAGTAAGTTAATATATTTAGTGAACTTGTGAATTATTCTAGATTAAAACAACATTTAATTAGGAATACCATATGATGAATTTAACTCACAAATAATTATAGATAATTAATGTTATAAAAACTGAATATTAATAGCGTATTCTCATTTTAATAACATTCAAACCCATAATAGTAAGACTTATATATAGACTGCTCAAGATTTGCAATAAGAAGGATATGTTTCTATTCTAAAAGTAAATCAATATTACACCAAGAAGAATAATACTAATGTTTTCATGCGTCATTATATTCTTCAAAGTATATCTATAGAAGATTATATTTAATGATGTCCTTGAAGTCATGGTATCCTTTTTTTTGTTGTTGTTGGATAAGGCGAGCATCTATCTATACCTCGCTTTTGCTATTAAAATTATAACAGCAAACTTTTATATTAATAATAATGTATTAGATAAATCTTCTTGTTTTTCTTCATAGTAATAAGAATCTAATAATAAAAAAAAGGATTACTGAAGGACCATTCAGCATTGATCTTCTAGTGTGGTTTTCTCAAATTTGCTCTTTAATTATATTAAATAAAACTGCAGTTAATTGAAAAACTTTCATGTCTAAAATTAAAACTTTATTTATATCGATTTGATTAACACTATATTTTATCAAAACAATTTAATAAAAACAACACATTTTTATTGTTAATAGAGAAAAATATTAGCCATTTGATAATTTTGAATTGATATTGTATTTACATTGCATGTAGAAAAGATTCATGATTTTTGTTTTTATTTTTACTTTCATCATTCATCACAATAAAATTATGAACTTGATTGAATTGATGAGACATAAGAGAAATGACAGATGAGCATAATTTTTTTTGGCATGATAAAAATTAAAAATATTGCCAACACAAAGTAAAATAAGTTCAAGAAGTCTTCTCTTAATAGTATCAGAAAAAATTCTTTGGCAAAAAAAGGATAAATCTTTCGGAAGAAATATTTATGTCCAAGTAAATTAAGATCGATGAGCATACACTAAAACAGTCTCTATAGGCGACATTTCTAATTGACGTTTTCAATTTAGACTTTTATAACTGATACTAAAATTAAGATTGATTCAATTTAGTTTATTACATTGAAAAGATTATGTAAAATTTTTAATGTGATTAAATTTATCGTTAGAGGTATTTTCTTTTCAATTTTGCTTTTGTACCTAACCAGAAAAAATAAGAATGACATTGTTAATTACAGTTTCTTTAAACCAGAAAAACAGAGATTAAGTCTACGGGAAACCGAATTTCAAAGAAAAAAAAAATAAAGTGGGTCTCATGATAATAAGGATTCAGAAAAAAAAGAGGAAAAAAACATTCTTGTTGGCATTGTAAACATCATCTAATAACACAACTCGAAAACAGATGTTATTATGATGTCGAATAAAATTCACGAATACGATTCGAATATCATTAAATTTTCTTTTCTTGTTAGATATTATTTATTACAAAACGGTACTTATTATATTTATTAAATAATACTTTTCATTTTAATATTAATTAAAAAAAAAAAGACAAGAAGATTTCAGATATAACATTGATTTCTTTGATTATTTGCTGAGAAAATTGGCAAGTTCTTTTTACTTCTATGCTTATTATTTATTTATAATGTCTTCGGTAGAAATTGGTTTTTTGTGCTTTTTACCTCATATAGTTAAGAATCTCATTAGTGAATTTAATTACATTAACGAAGAGCATTCTATAAATTTTAAAATAATGCTGTATATTAGAGAAAAAAAAATATTGCATAGCTCGTTTTTTTCTTCTTCAAAATTTATTTTAAATAAGACGAGTTCTCATATGCAAAAAAGTCCTTGCAGTCACACAGAGTTGATCATATACTTAAAATAATATCTTTTAAAAAATATAAAGAAATTGATATAAAAATAAAACTATTGAATTTTCATCTATTTCAATTGTCTTTCTTAATTCAACCTCATTTATCACAACACTATGGCTATTTATATTTGGCACGTGATACAATATCGTTATTCATTTTATAAACGTAATGATTTATGCAACGCATAAAAAGAAAGCTTCTCTTTATATTATGTTTAGGCGATAATGTATACGGTACATGAATGACGGTAGGTGATATATCCAGCTCTCTATATTTCATTTTGTTATTTTTTTTTTCTTACTGAATGACTAACACAAATCGAATATGGTTATCTTTTTCCCCCATTGTTAGTATGATTGCGCACAATCAATTCTCTTTTCGTATCCGTCCATTCCGTTAAATTGCCTTTTTTGCTTTCTCTTTTTTTTTTTCATTCTCTTTTTTTTCTATTGATGTTAAACACATTTCTTTGCTTTTACCGTCACACTATCCAACCTGCAAAGGAGTATGTTTGTCAAGAAAAAAATATCTCACCATCCATGCACTCAGGCCTTTCAGTATTTTGAGACGAATGAGTAGAAGAGAAAAGCAAAAATGAATAGGAAAATAAGAAAACGTATTACCACTTTTTCTAAAAGACATGCTAGATGTTCTTCTGTCTTAATTTCATATTTGTATGCAAGGTTTATTTCATATCTATTAGATTATCTCATATCATTTTTTTTTCTTTGTTTCTTTCTTATCATCAATCATGTCATGATGAACTCCCATGCGATTTATTAAGCCTCTAAAACTCTATTAAGATTAGAAATTTACTCGTTGATCTAACTCTAATTCTTATTAGTGATACTGTTGGCTTCCTAAAAAAAATAACGCTAGTTGATTAATTTTGTATTAAAGGGAATAGAGAGAGAAAAGATATCAAGTACTCATGAGAATAAGAAAGAACTCTTTGATCTAGAAAACATATCCAGCGATAAACGACGACATGCCAGAAATAAAAGAGCATAATATTGACTAGTAAAGCGTTCTGTAACTTTTCAGATTTCTGTACACCTTAGATCGACATAACCATGTACCTATCTAAGAGCGATGTAAGACACGATGCCAATGTTGATTATAATCTACAAACAAGGCAAACAAACATATCACCTATTACCTCCCATGTACGTATGGATTATTTGTTTCAGTTACTTTGATTATATATGAATATTGTCTCGTATAATCATACGAGTCAAGTTGGACTTGAATTAACTGTATTGTGTATTTGCTTGTTTCTTTTAGCCATCACAATCATCATCTCCGTTGTACCCCACGTTACTCGTCATAGATGACAATTCGAATTCTGAGGACTCAACTATAAACAATACAAATGACATTCCAAATAAACCATTGATTTCTTCTAATGCTCAAATGTCACATATTCAAATGCCAACAAACCTATCACCGTCCACAGTTGGTAAGTGTTTTTTGAATGAATATTTCTTTTGTTTTGGTTATATACTTCATATTTTACATTAATTTAGATATTGTACATAATACAGCTGAACAACAACGTCGTCGAAATTCATCAATTGCAAAATTACTCGGAGGTCAACCGTTACATAATCAGCAATACGAAGGTACAAATCTAATTTGTATTTTAAATTAATTGATGTATTTATTGCTTATAGAAATAAATCAACAAATACTGGATTCTCAATCCGTTCAAAATGTACCTAATCCTAGTGATCATGGAACTGATAGTAGTATTCAACGAACACGTAGTTCAATAACACGAACTTTACTTATGAACACAGGTAAAAAATAAAAATAAAAACTAATAAAATCTAAGATTGAATATTTGTTATTATAATTCTTTAGAACGAACTAATAACATAACAGAAGTACTTACCAAAACACAAGTAGCATCAACACCACCACCATTTTCAAAAGATTTTGAATATTTAATACGTCGAGAACCTGATAAATCAGATACAGAACATGCACCATTCATACTTCAACAAAATAGTAAATCTTATTTTAATCATTTTATTTTGTTGGAAAAAAAAAAGAATTTATTTTTACATTCAGCACCGAAAGTTTGTCAGAATTTAAATTCTTCTAATAAAACAAATGTTCCATTAACCATACAATCAAAATTAAAACGAAAGAGGTAATTAAAAAAATCTTTTTTTCTTAAGTAATATTTTATTGAAATATAAATTTTCAAGATCTATTTCAAAAACATCATTTATATCACCAAATAAATTAACAACAAATATTCCACCATTTTCTTTACATGATCCATTCGAACTCGAATCATCAGTAATAAATACGATTCCATCGATACATCATCAACAAAATGAATTTCCCCATTTTAATCCATCAAAACGTCCTCGTCATTTAAATCAACAACAACATAATTTATCAACGAGTAATTCAACGACTAACCAATTTTCATATCCTTATGATAAAATGAATATGAACTCTTCAGTGTATAATCAATTTTCTATACATAACGATCGAATTCCTTCAAATAATGGTTCACGTTATTCACATTCAACTAAATTAATATTGCCATCACCTATTGCAACACTACCATCACCTGGAACTGAACTACATCATAATCGTAACAATAATAATAAGAGCGTCACTATGACATCAATACGTAAAGCAAAAGTAAATATGATAAAAAAAAAACAAAACTGAAGAATATTGATGAATCTACTTAAAACAACAAAAGTAGGACAAAATTATTAATTGACAATAGAAAAATCGAGTGGCATTTTATAATACTAATTTAGTATTCTTTAAAGTATTGAATAAACATGCCTTGTGTTAAGATTTGTAAGACGATTTTTTTTTGTTTGTTCGAATTTCATATTTTATGTAGTCTATTAATTATATCCATCCCATGCAAACAAAAAGATTAGATAAAATAATCCTATTGAAATCCGTCATAATCAATAATAATGCGAGATCTTAAAGTTTCGTCGATTATTCTGATTAATTTCGCTTATAAACAATTCAATATCAATAAACGATTAATTATAATTCATGCCAATCAAAAAATAAAATATTTATTTAAGATTATATCATTTATCTTCAAGCAATTTCGATTAAAAGTAATGTTTTCAGCACAATTTCTTTTAATCAATTATAAACGAAATTAATCAGAATAATCAATTAAATTCAAAATTTTTTCAATTAATTTTTTTATTATAATCGATTCCAAATTGATTTTGATCTAATGTTTTTTGTCTGATATCTCTTTTTTACATGAGATGTTTTAAGATTAGAAAAATCAACATCCTTGAATTATGTCTTTGTCAATTGGAGAATATTTACCAACTGTTACTACATCGATTGATACACATCTGACGTCGTCGAAAAAAAAAAAGCTTGTCTTCCAATTGATATAAGTGATCTTTCTCTGTGGTTTTTAAAAACTTTTCTATATACTTTAAGAAAATACGTACAATGTTGTTCTTCTATCAACATATTATTGAAATCATTTGATATATATATAATAAACAAAACACATTAGATTGTCATGTTTATTAATCAACAGTAGTCATAAACGTCATTTTCTATTTTAGCTAACATGAAACTGACGAACTAGAATGCATAATATTAATCAAAAGAAATAACTAAGAACCTAATTTACGTATGATGAGTTAATTCAACTGTCAAAGTACATTCAGTATGCAGAAAATAGACATACACATCAGATACTCTATTTATCTCTGTAATAGTTTTGCTTCTGTTAGCTAAACTAGAGTTGATCATCTGTACAGCTAAAATCAAGTTTGAAACATTGCTAAATATTTTTATTACATACATTTTTTGTCTTGAAAATTTGATTTTTTTTACAAACAAAAGTAAAAAAGTGAATATTGATTAATGAGAATATATCATGTAAAACATACTCAATTAATGTAGCTGTTGTATGAAATACAAAGAAATATTACTTTCTTATAAAATGAAACTTCGAAATGATCTTTTTATTTGACGTTTTAAAATATTTTTCAGAAATCGAAATTTTTATAAAGCCAAATTGTTTCTAACATTTTATTGTTCTTTTTTTTTAAGTCGATACTTGTCCAACCCGAACTATGTGACTTTTCAAGGCAACGATCGTATTCCCATGCGTCTACTCGCTCTGATGATTTTTTAGCAGGATCATCTGAACCAAATGGACCATTAAAAAAACGTTTACTTCATGCATATAACAACGAACAGCGTCCTTCATAACCACTGTGATCTCTTTTGTGTTTGTGTAGTCTATTGTTTTTCTTTTTATCTTATCCTTGTTAAAACTATATAAAATACAAATCTCATTCTAATAACAAAAACAAAAAAAAGTAGATTGATTTATATTTTTGTTTGTTTTTCTTTTTTTTGTGTGTATTTGTATATATTCGTTTAACTTTCTAAGTCTACAAATGGACCAAAGGAAAAGAAAACATTTTCAACAATTTTTTTTTAAATCAAATAAAGAAGATATTGAACTTTATTTTTTCTTGTTAACATTATAAAATAAAATAAAATAAAATAGATTAGATGAAAATCTAGTTTAGAACCATTTGTGTTTTTTTCTATTTTTATACATTAAAATTTAAACAAAAAAATTTGTGTGATATAGAATTTCTTATTTATTGCATGGTAATATATTATATTCAATACATTTACAATCATCATTTTCTGTATCCGAAGATCAAGTAAGTCTGAATACTTGAGTGTACTGCAAGATATTGTTTTATGTTACGCAGAACTTATTTACACTGTGTTGAATTATCTATTTCATTGATAGAACAAAATAAATCTCATAACAATAGAACAAGAAGATTTACGATTCGTATTATTAAAAATTTGTAACAATCAGGGATGTCGCATTAGTAAGAGAATTCATAAAATGCTATTATTTATGCATTAGTATTATTAACCCGTAAGCTTTTTCTATTAGAATTAATTAATGTTAAGATGTTACTTACAATGAGACATTTGAGAGGTTAAACTCAAACGTTCTGAATAATAGAACATTTTTGTTCTTTTATCTCGAATAGTTTTCTCAAAACCGAACACATTTTTTTTACTAAGAAAGATCATTCCGACAAAGGAATAAAAGCTTCTTGTACAGAAAAGACCATTCTAATAATAGAATGAAGACTGATTGTACCAGAAAAGGCTATTCCAATAACCGAACCAAGGTTTTTTGTGCTAAAAAAGATCATTCGAATAATAGAACAAAATAGCTCAGTTAGTGCAAACTTTTCAGCTTGAAATCCTAGAGGCATTGTCTCAAGTAATACCTAAGCATTAGCTAATACTGATGGCAACCGAAAGCCAAAGTGCTAAGACTAAATTTAATGCCCCGAATAAGCATTAGAATTAGTATTGATTAGTGCTAATACTAAATCTAAACAGATGCTCCCAGTGGCATTTCAATAGCTTATGATAAACAAATAAAAATCTTTTGTATTACAGAGAGTTGAATGTGATTTATTAGTTTGTGCCGTTTTCGAAAATATTGAATTAAACAATTCCCATGGTAAATGATATTCATATAAAACAACTTATGACATTTGTAGTAGTGATTGTTTAATACCGATTGCTCGCGTTGAAGGTTTTCAAACAGAGATGCGATTCTCACAACAAACCTTACAATGTACAAAATATCGAAAGTAAATTTATCGAAACATATATTTTCACCAAAGTTGTAATGTTTGAGATTAGTGAAATGTAATATGAAAGCAACAATGCTCAATAACTGAAACGAAAATGAGGATGCGGCTGTAGAGTGTAGACAATTGGGTGTTGGACGTCTCTTAATTAAAATACATATTCTCACCTACGCGCACACCCTTGAGAACTGAAAATTAATACTTTTACGAAGAAACAAATGCGTTTTTGATAGAAAATAAGTCATGTCTACGTGCTCTATACAGAACTTGTTCGTTGTGCAATATTACAAACGAAAGAAATATCATTGAATTCTTTATCTTCAACGAAACAATAATTTATATAATTTCAATATTTCAGTATGATAACATTTTTATCTTTCAATTCTTTTACAACTCGACATATTTATTATTCGATGTTTTTATCTATCCACATTTTACTTTTCGACATTTCTCTTTTCGATCGAAGTAGGATTAACTAAAGATTCGAAAGACAGATAAAAACCCTCATCTTTCCCATCGTTGTCCACAATCATTTCAAATAAATCAGATGCATTTAGGCAAGTTCACAAAGATAGCAAAAGACAAATGTAGGAATGAAAATGTAGGAAAATGACTCCTAGCTTTGTTGCGTATTGGAAAAAATCTGTTATTCCTTCATTGTGAGTGGGAATCCATCAGATTAGTACTCAATCTGCTTAACCCTTAAAAGACGAATGTCCCTTCCAAGGAACATTGGAAAAATCTCAATAAAACATGTAATATAACTTCATATACAAGATCCAGTGTTTTCTTGCACTAAGATACCCTGATAGACCATGCAAAGAGAAAAAGATCAGTCTTGAGTACCTGTTAAACGAAACAATAGGTTTTTTTAAAGATATAATTTTCTGAATGTCATTTTTTTTACTTTAAAACTTTTGCTCATTTATTAATACAGTATGAAAATCTATTTTTTGTGAGTGGCATCGCAAGGCGCAGCATCAGGCTATCGAATGAGACCATTTCTGAATTTTTTAATCGATTTGTTGATGCATGATGACATCATGAAGAAAATGTTCCTTGGGAGGGGATATTTGGTCTTAACGAGCCAAAACATTTGAGCAAGCCTTATATTGGAACAGAGAGTGCGTAAGCTTTGAAAAAATGTAAAATATTGCTCAATTCGTTTTTTGAGTAATAACAAACAAATAAATAATAGCATTTCAAAGCAAAAACTCTTTTTACATAAACTCAGAATAGTGAAAAATTTTGTACCGTTACGATCGAATGTCTCTTCCAAGGGACATTCTGTATCTCCATAAGAAAAAATAATTTTTTTTTACTATAATATAATCATACTGATGACTCAGAAGCTCAGTTCCGATGGTTGGTTTTCTCAAATTGTCACGGAAACCTCGTTCAGCTTTTAAGGGTTAAGCTCAAATCTACTAGGGCGTAGTCGTGTGATGATGAAAGGCTCTCAAGTGATTGATTGGTTTCAAACTGAAACTATATTCGACCGATAGGATCTAGTAAGTAAATACCCAATAGGGATTCGAATAGCTGAACCTTTGTTATTGAGATATCGAGTTTCAGTGTATTTTTTGTAAGGCCCCAGTTTTCAAGTGAAATCATCCTGTCGAATTTTAACCTGAAACTTTGCTCCGACAAAGGCAACTATTAGGCCAGCTCGTAGAAGGAACTTCTAAACATTTTGATTAAGTCTCTTCAAGATATGGATCTTTCAAAACATCGATGTTTTTTACAATAATCATACCAAAGCGTCTATATTTTTAAAAATTCATATCTCGGAAATACTTATTGAAAAGATTCTGAAACTTCTTGTAAAAGTTAGTCTAAACAGTGCCTTTCAATGGACTATATTTCAGAACGAAATTCAACAGTATAGTTTTGCTTGAAAACTTGGGCCCTATTAGAAAAGAATCCACTAAGTTCTATATCTCATTAACAAAGATCTGGCTACTCAAATCATTCTAAGATATCTACTTACTCACTAGATCCTATTGAGTAAACATAGTTTCAGCTTACACGCGGTTTATCACTTGGGAACCTTCCATTGTGAGAAAGGTGTTGAGTGAGACAATCACCAAGTACAAAAAACTGGAAAAAAGGATCTCGTATCTTTGGGGCGACTATTCGATTTTGAAAATTTCACTAAGAGAATTTAAGTATGATTCAGCCAGATCTGAGTGCAAATGTTTTGGATCCGACGAACTCTATTATGTATTCAATTGAGTACTTCTCGCTGCTATCATTACCCATCTTCAGCGCTAAAGTAATATGTAGCATTAGCCGTCATTGTTGTATCGAATAGAAACATCGAACCTATTGTGATTAAATGAGATAAACAAATATTTATTAATAGTATCAAGTAATAGATCATCATCATCATTATAATTAATAATTGGTTTTAATTTTGATATAATAAATTTTCTTTAATTCACATCTAATGACTAAATCTTTTTGAATGACAGCATGTCCTAAATATTATTTTCATATTTATATAGACTAATGACATTGAACATAATTGTCTTCAAGTTTCTATATACTATTTATTTGATTGCGATATTAATCGTCATTCACAAAAAAAAAAAAACAAACGAATATTGTGAATTAGCACTCGTTATTCGCATTTATAAATCATATATACCTTCTATTGGTCAAGAAGATATTCCAATCGATGGTATAAAAAGAAATTATTTTAATCTTTAATCAAAACGACATCTTCTTTTATAAGTTTTATTATAAAAAAAGCAATTATTTTTCTTATTTTTAATTAAAAAATATTTTTTCTTTGTTAATAATTATTTTTGCTCTGTACAAAAAAAAACAAAGTGATTACGTCAACTTGAAGATTGAATCAAATAAATATTCAACACCTGGCCCAAAAACTTGATTGGTGATTAGTTCACTTTCGTTTTTATAGATTTGAAAATCCGACTTTGATCAGATTATTGGCCACTATCATACTGTGAAATTAGAAAAATTATGACAAAATTTTTTCAATTTATTCTAACGATATATTCTTCTATTGTTGTTATCTATGCTTATACTGATCCATCTGAATTAAATCCACAATTAGTTAAAAGATTTGAATATAAATTATCATTTAAAGGACCTCATCTTGCTTTTAAAGATGGGACTGTTCCATTTTGGACATTTGGTGGAAGTAAGTAATTATTTTCATCAAACAAGAAAATCTTGACTTTATTTTTTTTTTAATAACTTTAGGTGCTATTGCTAGTGATGAACAAGTACGTGTAACGCCATCAATTCGAAGTCAAAAAGGTAAAGAGATATAATTTTCATTTTTACATGATTATAAATTTCATACATATATAGGTTGGATTTGGAGTAAGAATACAATGACTGCAGATAATTGGCTTCTCGACGTTAAACTACGTGTAACTGGCCGAGGTCGTGTTGGTGCTGATGGAATGGTAAAAGATTGGACTTTTTATTTTAAATGGAAAATTCGAGAGTTACCAGAATTTGGTTCATTGATAAAGTATACAAAATCAATTTTATATATAGTTGGATAGAGTTCGATGAGCTGAGTAAGAATATTCATTATTATTTTTTTCAAAGTTTTATTGATAAAAGAATAAGAGGTTTTTTCAATAGTCTTGAGTAGTTCATTCGTTTGAAAAATATGTTTTTTCATACCACGACACTGATCTATTTTTGTATGATTTCAAAAAATTCTTTTTGCATTTCATGCTTGTTATAAAACTAATTTGTTCAGATTCGCCATGAAAAGCTGATTTCAAATTATTTGTACGATAAGCGTGAAACGAAAAATTGTTTTAAAATTAGAAAAAAATGGATCAGTTTTATGGTATGAAAAATGTATTTTTCTAAAGAATGAACGATCCAAGATTATAGAAAAACTTGATGTCTTTTATCACAAGGCTTTGAAAAAAAAACAGTAAAATACATATTCTTACTCAGCTTATCGGGCTCTATCTAACGATGTATAAAAAAAATGAAAAAAATTTTTTGCATCTTTTGCACCTTACCATATAACACATATAAAATTAGCTAAAAGATAGTCACAGTTTTAAAGAGTTAATCGTCAAGTTTAGTTCATCCATGTCGGTCTTGTTTCAATTTATTCATGGTATTATTTAAAAAAAAACATATTACATTGTATGTAATATTGAAATTGTAAGACTTTTCCAATCAAGAAATATTGATTATTAGATATTTTGATTGGTCACCATTAGATAAGCAGTATTGTTATGTTGTTGTCTTTTTCTTTATTAAAATAGAGAATCTAATTTTCATTTCGATTAAAAGTTAACGATTCCCATAGAAATTCGATGTTTGAAGTATTCAGATAAAAAAGAAACCTTGACAATCTTCTTTCTCTTTAGATTCATTCCTAGTTGAAAAGGTTATTCTTCGCTAATCTCTATCGATATATCTATTTAAAAGTGACCTTTTTATTTTTATTTAGTTATAGTCATAGTACATAGAGAATTTTCTATTAATTCATTGATTTTCTTTTTTAGGCTATTTGGTTTACAGAGAAAGCAGGTGTTGAAGGTCCTGTATTTGGCTCAAATGATTTGTGGAAAGGTGTAGGCGTATTTCTTGATTCATTCGACAATGATGCGTTAGTAAGTTACTTTAAGAAACATATTTCTTCGTTTGTTTTTCAATAAGTAATATAAACAAAAAAAAAAATTAGAATTTTTTCCTAATTCGTAGACTCTTCAACTTGTAAGTTATATCTTATTGTGCTTTACATATTTATGATGTTTACTCAGTAAAACTTGTTTCATATAATATTTACTTTAAATGGTTTTCAAAATATCTTTTATTCGCTTCATTTATGTTGTATAGCACTAATATAGTTGCTTTGTGTAAAGTATTTGTTCGTATGTTCGGATCTAAATGCCATCATTTACCAGAGTCCTTAGTCTGGAAACAGACAATGATACATTTTTCTTAATTTCTGATGGTAATAATAAAATATAGGAATGTTAATCCCAGGAAGATGATTGTGTTCACTTGGCTGATTCATGACTCCGAGACAAAAACAAAAATAAAACGAAATTATTTTGTAAATATATATCAATATTAAAAGTATTTCTTTTCTTAGCAAAATAATCCAATAATTGCTGTTATGGTTAATGATGGTACTAAAACATATGATCATCAACATGATGGTAGTGGACAAATTCAAGGAAGCTGTATTCGAGATTTTCGTAATAAACCATTTCCAATTCGATTGAAAATTGAATATGTCAATCAAGGATTAACAGTATGTCATAGATTAGCAATTATTAAAAACTATATATATATAGTTCTTTTTTAATCTAAGATTTATCTTAATAATGGTATAACACAAGATGATAATGCATTTGAATATTGTACACGTATTGATGGAGTACAATTACCAAAAACTGGATATCTTGGTGTAACAGCTGCAACAGGTGGCCTTGCTGATGATCACGATGTATTAGAATTTATGACAACGACTTATTCTGATAAACAAGCATTAGCTCAAAATCAAGCAGCCACAGATGAACAAGCAAAAAAATATAAAGAAGAATATGAAAAATATGAACAAGAACTTAAAAAACAACAAGAAGAGTTCGTTTTTAGATTTTATTATTCTAAAAAAAAAAACAAGTTAATATTCTTTTAATATTTTAGCTATAAAAAAGAACATCCAGATATGACAACACCATATAATGAAAAAAATTTAGTATGTATTACAATAATTTATTTAACATATTTAATTATTTGAAATTTTTTTTTTTGTTTTTAGTACGAAAGTGAATATGATCGTGAATTTCGTACTATCTTAGAAGGACAAGATCAAATTCGTTCATCATTAACAAGTATTGATAAAAAAATGCTTGAACTATTGGGACGTGTTGAACGATTAGCTATAACTACTGGCACACAACAACAAATTGTTGGACAAGTACAAACAAAAGAAAATAGAGAAATCACATATTAAATTATCAAATCTATATTTTTTGTAACTTAGGGTGGTTCAGGTGTACCTGCTGATGTTGCACGGATTCAAGATGTGAATCGAGTGATAAATTCTAATACTGATATGGCAAGAACTATTCAAAGTTATGCGTATGTTTGAAAATTTTTTTTTTCTTCTTTTCCTTTTGAATATTTTATCATATAATAGACAAGTACTAACGGATTTACAACAAAAAGTCAATAATATTCAAACAAGTATTAATAATCAAAGACCTATTGGTACAGGACAACAAGTAGTTACTCCAAATATAGATGGAACTGTAGTAAATGAAATTCGAGAACTAGTTAGAATGATTAAATCGGAAACGAATACATTATTACACAAATCAGTAAGAAAAAATTTCAATTGATTACTTTTTGAGAAAAATATTTTTTTTTTCCTTGTTTTTTTCAAGTCAACTCAAGTTACATGTCCAACAGTAACTGGTGGAAATAATAGTTCTTGTGTGGGTACATTTACATTTATAGGTGCTATTATAATACAAATTGTTGTTCTAGTCGGTTTTTTTGCATTCAAGTAAATATTAAAACCTTTGTTATTTCATATCCTTAGTGTTTAAACTAAAGTTAAATTTGATATCTTTCATAAATTTGATCAAAATGACAATTTTGTATACTAATGATTTTCCCTGCTCATTTTTCTGAGTGTATGAAGGATGGCTTAGCAGAAAACCTTGAAATTTTCAGGGCAGATAGATCTTGACTAATAGAAAAAGAGTTGTTATAGACTCACAATTCATAGATGCTGTGAATTGGGATCACACGGGTCTCAATCTTTGCGCCTGTTTATTCGAGATGTTATGTTCAATCTAACGGGAAATTTATTTTGCAGGCATAAGTCACTATTTTTGTTGGATATCTATTTATCTTTGTCCTTTGAATAAAAAAGCTAAAATATCGAGGATACCTTAAAAATACGTGCTTGTTTTTGTCTAGAGCTGCTAAAAATCAGCTAAACAACATTTTTTTGAAAAAGAAAAACAAAGGAATATCCGTTGCAAATAGTGTGTCTTACATGTGAAAAAATTTCAGCTTTATTTGACATTAGAGCTCGTTGGGTCCAAAGCGTTTGGTTCCGGGTCAAGAATCGAATAACAGAAGAGTTTCAGATCCGAATCCGATAGGCTCTATTGGCCATAATAGACCAAAGAAATGGCGCGTTTCCGCACTTGTTTTTATAAAAAAAAAAAATGTTTTGAAAAAATCACGACATAATGTTTTAGTTTTCACTATCTCCGTTATATAAATTGGTTTCTGGTCCAATTTTCTAATGCTTATAGATATTCTGAAATAGGAAAATTTTTGTAAAATATTTTCATGAAGAATTTCAATTAGAATTTTGAATCATCTTACGGAATGATTCAATCATGTTTATACAAGAGCAAATGTCTAGTTATCCTGCATGATAATTGTATCTAACATATCAATGAATGCGACATGAAATATCTATCTCGATGTAGTTTGTCATTCTATGGAATACATTTAACATTCTTATTTAAGAACACTGTGATAACTACATACATTTTCGTCCAACTATATGACTTCATGACGAAATATTATGTATATTCATATTGATTTTGAACCGAAAGCATACTTAAAAGATTAAACTTGTAAATCAGCAGAAAGTTGAGAACGATAAGCTTTGCCAACCCTAAGTTTATAGCTCTATGTATCTGCCCGGATCAATGATTCTGACGCCCGAATACATGAACTTCTGGCAGCTTTCCACCGCAAAGACAATGTTTCCGATCTAAAAAACTCGAGAAAATGGCATAAACTTGGAAGCAGAGAGCCGGTAACCGGATTTTTTCTTTTATCATTTTCTCCAGTTTTTCGGTCATAAAAGAACAATATTTCTTGATCTGAGTACATTCCATAGTTTTTATCAGCACATAACTTTCCTCTTGAAATTTTTATATGTATGAACAGAACAAAGATTAATGGAATAAGTAACTCATAAAATGAATCATTGATTCTGGCATTTATATTTCATTGCTTAGTAATTAATATTTTTTCAGGATAACTGTTTCCTTCTTGATACATAAACTTAAGTGATAAAAAAAATCTCGGAGTTTAGAAACATGCCAGCTCATCTAAGAACTCATTGAATATAAGCATTGACTATAGTGCTAATCAATAAGTAATTTTCCTTGAGATTACGTAATCTTAGAAAGCCGTTATAATTCAATTTTGATGTTCATACTAATCTAAACAATTTTCTTTTCTAGAAATCGTCAAGATCGTATATCACGAAAATATTTATGAAAATTTTGAATGGATTTATCAAAACATAAAAAAGAACATTCTTCCTTTTTAATTGTTACTATTTCTTGTCTTCTTGTTTTTTGTGTTTTCATGTGCAATGCTACAATCGTTGAAAAATCAAAACTGAATGCCACCTGATTATTTTTTTTTTTCTTTGTTTAATTTCTTGCTTTCCTTTTGTTTTTAAAAGTTAGCTTCATATTTATTTTAACATTGTTATTATTATTGTTTTCATAAAAATCAAAAGAAAAAGAGTTTTTTGTTTTTTTTGATAATATAGAAAAGAAGACAAAGAATTTTTATTGTCATTGTGTTCATGGAATCTCTGTTAAATACATACAGAAGTTATCTTCCTTGTTGCTTAGTTATTTGTTTTGTCTGGTTGATTTATCTGTTTTCCATTCGTCTGGGTTTTTTTTTGAATTTTTTGGCGCAACGACATCTGTTTTTATTGCATGTGTATGTGTGTTTCTGATTCCATGCTTTCTAATGATTTATTTTCGGTTTTAATAAAATAAATTGCTCATCATCGGAGAAAAAAACCCTGTTTTACTAGAAATATTTATGAGTTTTATGTATTTGTAAAATAAGTCATACAATAGGAAAGAAAAGAAAACTTTACAAAGCCATAAGTATCTATTAGAAAATCATACAGGCAAAAATGTGAGTGAGTAATGATTGGGAGAGTGTTTGGTTTTACATAAATTAAGTATTTGAAGATGAAGAGATTATATAAATGTAATGATTTAGGAGCAGATAGTATAGATTAGTGATGACTTCGTTTAAAACATCATCTACATATTCTGATTGCATCTTCGAATAACTATTATTACACTGATGGTGTACTTTACAGTCTTGTATTGGCCTTCTAATCATAACTATTGATAGTAAATAGAAAGAAACGCAAGTTGTGCAATGAAGATACTCTTTTCTCCCGATGGTTCTTGGCCATCTCAGAACGAACTTGTATATCTCTCTAATAATACTATTAATAGTTGTATTAACCGATGTGTATTCTGAATCTATCGTTGACAATGTTATGCCTATGACATGCCCTTGTCAAAGTTGTATCGTATCTTAAGAAGTTCGAAAAGCAAAATTTTTCTTGTGTCGGATATAGAATGCAAACGATTTACCTACAGTTGACATACAAAGACGGAGATTTCTCTAAATTTAGTGTTTCTTCAACACGATGATCGCTCATCAGTTGTTTCTTTCTGTAATTTGATAATTTTTTTTTAGTTTCATTATGTTTTTTTGTTTGAATGGTAATTATTCTTTTGAGAAAAAAAGTATGATCGTAAGGTCACTTCTAATACTGAACATATTTCTTTCTTAACATGTTATTAAGAGGTGCTATTAGAATGTTTCATGTAAAGGATAAACCACACGTAGAACAAAACAATCGATTCATTGCTCTAATAAGAAAATGAGATAGTAATTTTCGAGCTATTTGTAATAAGTGCTTTATTAAGGAATATTTTCTTATTCAATTATTTTTTCGAAATGTTCATTTCTTTTTATTTTATTTTCAGATGTTTTTCATAACGAGAAAGTCTCCTATTAAGACTATATTTTTTTCATCTATTTCTCGTCGATTATATCGCGAATTAGGTTCCGAAGCAAATTCTGCTTCAAAAGAACAACAAGAAATTGATGAGAAAAAAATTAAGCAACAAAAATATCAAGAATTAGAAAAACTTGAATTTCGTCCATTATATTTAGATGCACAAGCAACAACACCGATGGTAAATATTATTTATTTGAAGATTATCTAAATAAAATTTCTTTATATTTCAATAAATATAGGATCCACGTGTACTCGATCAAATGTTGCCTTATATGACACATTTATATGGCAATCCACATTCAAGAACACATGCATTTGGATGGGAAAGTGAAAAGGCTATTGAAACTGCACGAGAAGTAAACATACAAATGAATTATTTAATTCAATGTTTTTGTTTTTCATTATATGATATTGTAGAAAGTTGCTAAATTAATAAATGCTGATCCAAAAGAAGTCGTCTTTACAAGTGGAGCAACGGAATCGAATAATATTGCTGTTAAAGGTGTTGCTCGTTTTTATAAAGAAAAAAAGAAACATGTTGTTACAACACAAACTGTAAATTTCTTTTCGTTGTTTTTTTCGCTTATTAATTTTCATTTTATTTTATTATTTAGGAGCATAAATGTGTACTTGATTCAATGAGAGTATTAGAAAGTGAAGGTTTTAAAGTAACTTATCTTCCTGTAAAAAAGAATGGACTTATTGATTTAAAAGTAAAATTAAACAAAAAAACTGTTTTTTGTCTCTCATATAAAAGTCTTTAGGAACTTGAAACAGTTCTTACACCAGATACCAGTTTATGTTCAGTTATGATGGTAAATAATGAAATTGGTGTTCGTCAACCAATAAAAGAGATTGGTATTGTAATAGTTGTTTGATTAATTCTTCTATAATGTTAGCTTCTTTTTTGTAGGTAAATTATGTCGATCAAAAAAAGTATTCTTTCACACAGATGCAGCACAATCTGTCGGAAAAATACCAATTGATGTTAATGAAATGAATGTTGATCTTTTATCAATAAGTGGTCATAAAATTTATGGACCAAAAGGTGTTGGTGCACTTTATATTCGTCGACGACCACGTGTACGTCTTGATCCAATTCAAACTGGTGGTGGACAAGAACGAAATATTCGTAGTGGTACTGTTCCTACTCCTCTTGTAGTTGGTCTTGGTGCTGCTTGTCAAGTATCACAACAAGAACTTGTTGTAAGTTAAAAATACTTTTCTTTTTTCTTTTTATAGAACTCATATATATATATTTGGAGAAAACAATGAGCGTAAGTTTTAATTTGAAGTTTTGCGGCCTTCCATTGCAAACCTTAGCAACTGGAGCTAATGATCATTAAGCCTCGTCCACTTAAAAATGTGAACTTTTGTAAAAAACATGAAAATTGAGAAAAATGTATGGAATTATAGCTTAGGATCTGATAGGATTTTTTTATTTTGCATTTCATTTTCTCCAGAAATTTCCTACTTGAAAAATATGACATTTTTTTAGGAAAAGTGTAAAATCTTTTTCGTCTTTCTCTGTGTATGACACTTTAATGGCGCATTCCAGAATTCTTTGTTACAACTATATAAGAAAGTACTGTTATAAATAGAGCGCTATTTCTTGAAAGTTTTTTGAAACATAGAACTTTTGTTCACTTCAAAAGTAAGAATACATTTAGAAAAGAGACTATGTCTTGCCCTACATTCAAATAAAAATTAAACTGATAGAATGAGTGCCTAAAGCGAATGGTCTATATTTGACTCTTCGTTTATTGAATATCTAGTGGAAACATCATGATAGAAGACTAAAAGTTCACTATTGCCTCTCCACTATAGTTTCGACATATTCTAAAAGTTTCGTAAGATTTGAATGTACCTGATCCAAGATCGATTTTTGAGAAGACTTTAATCAAAGTTCTGAGAGTTCCGGAGACTTTAGCAACCAAAGTTGATGATCATGGAGTACGTTTTCCTATCCGTTGCACGTGTAAATGAATTATTTTTATACTCCTGCCACTCGTGGTTACACAGACAATATAAAAAGTTTGCAAAGTGAACAAGATTGATTGAAATTTTAAGATTAAAGGAAAAAAGCATGTAAAGTTAAGATTGTAGAATTAAGATACTAATATACGTACTACTGATTCAGCGTAAGAAAGTACATGTGAGTTCCATATTTTAGCCCTATAGATGGTACTCTCAGAAAACTTTTTAATAAAAACAAAAACAATTCTAGAATGATGAAAAACGAATTGCGCAATTATCGAAAAGATTAATTGATGGAATTACTCAACGATGTACAAATGTTATTCTTAATGGTGATCCGGAATCGCGTTATCCTGGTTGTGTTAATTTATCATTTGCTTATATTGAAGGTGAATCATTATTAATGGCACTTAAAGATATAGCATTATCATCTGGAAGGTAGAAAATAAAATATGACTTTATATAGAAACATTATTTGATTTATTAGTGCATGTACATCTGCATCACTTGAACCCTCTTATGTACTTCGTGCAATTGGTGCTGATGATGATTTAGCACATTCCTCAATTCGGTAAGATTTTTTTTATTGTTCTTGAAATGCAGTGTCTTCCGAAAATTTAAATGAATAAAAAAACATAAACAGCTACTCGGCAATCAAGAGACTCAAATACATTTTGTTAGAGTTTGATTACACATTCAACAATGTTTCATTCAATATATTTCAATGAAATGTCTGTGCCTGCAGAAGTCAAAATTACAATAGTTTTGCTCATGATCAAAATCGAATCAGTTATCATTGTAAAACGAAAGCTACAAGTCGAATTCGGAAAAAAACATACCAACTAAACCACATTTCAGCGATTTTGTGACACTAGTACTTTCGAAAGCAGACCACGTTCTGGAAGATCTATAAAAATTAATGAAGCAAAAGTCAACGAATATAAGAATACTTGTGAAAATGAGCTAGGGTCAAGTATTTAGTCTCTTGCACAAGCCTGCTTATTATTATAAATAACAATATATCGAATTAGGACGGCACATTTCTTATTAAACCATATAGAGTACTATTTGTTGAACGGTTCTACGAAAAAGAGTTTCATAGACCAAATACTCAATCCTGGCTCACTTTTACAATCACATCAGTCATTATCAACAGCATTAGTTTCACAAAATTGCTGGAATGTGTTGTTAAAGAAACTTTTAGTTGGCTTGTATTTTGCAAATTCAATCTGTAGTTACCTTTTTACAATACTGGCTTATTTGAATTTGATCATGAGTAAAACAATTTAATTATGACTTGTTTAGGTGTCGTCATTTTATGTCAAATACATATATAGGATAAAACTTGAATGAATATGTGACCAAATTGCAAGAGAAAAAGATATTTAAATCCTTTATATTGCTGAGGGGTCATTCGAGTTGCTGTTTTTTTTTTGTTTGGATTTTCGAAACATCCTGTATAATTTATTATATTCTTTGAAAGATTTGGTATTGGTCGTTTTACCACGGAAGCTGAAGTTGATTATACAATTGAAAAGACTGTTGAACATGTTAAACGACTTCGTGAAATGAGGTTAAATATATATATTATTATGAAATACTAATTTAGTTGGTGTTTTTTTTTAATGTTTTCTTCTATTTAGTCCACTATGGGAAATGGTTCAAGAAGGAATAGATTTGAAAAGTATTAAATGGTCACAACATTGAGATCGATCGATTTTTGTTCTGTAAAGTTTAATCAAGCTTTTTGTTTGTTTGTTTTTTTTTTTTTATTTTCGAAATAAATTGCCCATCATTGTATTTGTGATTCTATTATTTCTGATTTTTAATGTCTTCTATAGAACTAAAATGAGTGATGCGATATGTCAATTAATGGACGATATTGAAGGATTATGTAAACGTTGTTATCATCTTCAAAAATCAAATAATGATATGTATGGTAAGTCATTTATTAATTTGATAGATAGAATTTGTTTTTTTGTTTTCATTATATTTGTTTTAGATTATATAAAAGAAGATCAACAATTACAAGAATATATTGATGAAAATGAGAAAATTATTGAAAAATATCATCAAAAAATAAATGAAATTTTTCAATTAATAAAAGATAATAATAATCAACAAGGTGAAATACATTGGTCACCTATAGCAATTGATTATAAAAAGAAGGAAGAAGAAGAAAAAAGATTATGTGATGAAAAGAAAAAGAAATTAATCGAACATTCAACGAATCCTGAACAAGTTACATCTGATGATAAAGGCGTATATTTGTAGGTTTCTTTTGTATAAATAAAATATTTTTACTTTTATAATGTATGTAGAACATTTGTTTGTATTAAGGAGTATATATTTGTTTGATGAAGTACTAACTAAAACATAATTTATCATTCATTGAAGAAAATACAACAAGTTTTCATATAATAAAAATCGATTGCATACATAACTGATTCTTTGACTAAAATAGAATATAATTTATGGAGTAAACCTCGCAGCAATACTATTTTCGTGATACTTACGGATTTGTCGCCATAGGATGATTTTTACATGATCATAACATGTTCTACATTATATACAATCTACTTTTGAAGTTTTTATTAAAATAATTGTAGAATATTTTCCATCGAGAAAGAAAGATGTAATATTCATATTATATTTGTTTCGAATATCAATTGTTCTTTTATATGTTGTTTCATAATGGGTTTATAAGTAGGTTATAAAGGAGCTTGTTTTACATTGACAGTTGTTATTAGTCTCAGATGTGACATAAGAAAAGATCCTTTTTGTTGATATCTTGAGTTTTTACCATTTCATGCACGTGTGTATTTGAGATACTAAATTTTTATTGAATTTTTCAACAGAAGGCTGTGGTCTCCTTCAAGTGACTATACAAAATTGAAATTTGATTTTCGACTGGAAACTTTGCATAATCTAAGCTCTCGGTGACGGTAGCTCATTATAAAAGTTTCATTCATTTTCGGATCCCCTACTGTGAGATATGAATACTGAAAACTTTTCGATAAAAAAAGACAATCATTTTTTATAATACTGATATCTCAGAATATCATATAGTTAATGCAGTAAAATTTTTACGATGAACTAGTATCATCGAAAGCGTCATTTGTGCAAAGTTTTCAAATCGAAATGCATTTGTCATGCTAATTTGAGGAGAACCGTAGCTTTCTGTTCAAAAATGCAGTCAAAACTTGTTATCTCAAGAACAAATTCTCTGACCAATGAAACGCCTTATACTTTTACACTACTTACCATGAATTCTTACTTGGATATAGGCTCGCTTAAAAAGCGACTAGATATTTGAGGACATTCCTTTGTACTCTATAATTATGAAATATTGCTAAAAAAGGAATTACATTTATGTAATGTTCAAAGGCATATATATTAAACAAAAGAAAAGTAAGAATTCCGTACTCTGACGTAAGAATGAAGTATCGTACTTGAGACTACTCAAGTCTGACTTTTACAATTTGACCACATGAAAATTTTGAAAGTTGCACTCAATAGTTTACTAAACATATCTTTAAGTTTTAGAAATTAAACAGACATTATTGGTTGAACAAAACCCATTTGAAAAAAGTTCTATTCAAAGCGATACAAAGGCTAGAAGATACTGTCAACATATGTTATACTACTATCGCTAATATAATTTCAAAGAACTGGTATTACAGAATAAATGTGCCATGAATAACAATTAGAGAAGCAACGATCGTGAACTTATCATTACTTTATCTCTTTGTATGCAGAATTTATCTTGTATAGATATAATAAAATAGATTTTACCATATCCTGATTTTTTTTTCCTACGAGATGGTTCTGTTTGTTTTTCCGATTTCAACACAAAAACCTCTGCGACTTCAGATGAAATTAACAAGTACTAAGCCTCAAGTAATACTATCATAGCGTTGAATAAACATTACACGATTAGTTTGATGTATTAAAAAAGTATTCTTATCTTTTCAATTCATCTGATAGCAATCACTATTAGTATGAATTGTATTTCAGAAATAAATACTTGAAAATTAAATCGATTTATTATAAAATTCTTTGAATGGATGAACATGAATAATTGATCGATGTCGTTATTATTATCTATAAAATTCTTTCACATTGATCATTATTGGTTACTATTTTCATAAAATGACATATTGATTAGTCATTCAAATTTCATCTTGTCTTATTTTAATTTAACCAATGTCTATATATCGGATGAAACTTCTAAATAAGTCTGAAGTAAATTATTGTTTTACGGGCATCGTATTTTGTGCTTAGTAATTTGGTTCATTACATTTTATGGTGAAATAATACAGCGAAATGTGAAATTAAAATTTTGCTCGTTGAAGGAATAAATGATATCTTATAAAACTTATACCAAAGTATATTCATTTTTCTTTTTGATCAATTCGACTTATTATCTGCTAGACAAGGAAAAACATCAATTCATGTCAGGATAGCATGAATGATGGAAAACTACGTCTTTTATATTTATTATATCAGTCAGAAAACATAAATAGAACTTTTTCTTTTGTTTTGGTAAGCTGAGTGTATTTTTCTTTTCTATTCACGATTTTATTTTTGAAAAAATTGTGATAGGTGTTCATGTGTTTTACGTGCATCATCTTCTGCATCATCGAAAATTTCATATTGTTGATCGTTAAGGGATGATAATAATGATGTTGTTGGTAAATATAAATCTATGGTAAAATTAATAAACAAATAAGGATATTGTTTTACAAAAAAAAAAAAAAAAGGCAAACCGTTTGACAATTGTCGACGACCATGTAAACGCCAAGTATTGAATGTCCATCGTTTCTGATGCATTGGTAATTTATTCAAATCATCATTTGTCGGCATTGATTGTATAGGAAATACGACCAACATAATTAATGCTATTATGTCGACTATGATAAGAGTTTTAAAACAATTCATTTTAAGGCTTGAACTTATATGAATCGAAAGCAAGAATGCGATGTCAATCTTTATTCTTCGAGTTGTTGAAACTTTTCTTTTCTTAACAAAATAATGCGTTGAAGAAAAAAAGGAAATATGACAGATTGGCAAGTTAAAATTATTACGCATGACTACAATATTTTGGAAAATGAATCAACATGTTAATCACCATTGCAATAGTGGATACAATGATTATTATTTTTAACTTCCTTTTCTTCATTTATCAAAGCAAAATAACTATTCTTTTTCTAACTATTATTGATTGATGATTCTTTTGGGAGTTTATACCTTTCTTCGAAGTTTCTTTTCTATGATGACTTCATTCATCTTCTTTCTACTCCTCCTTTTTTGTTGCACATGGTAATCTAGATGATGGCATGCATATGAGCATGGGCGTATGTTTTTTCAAGCTTGTCCTACGCAAATAATGTAATCTAATTGGAACATAAACAAAATTTTTTGGTTTCATAATGTAAGAATGAAATCAAGCAATGAATATATGCGTAAAAACATGAAAAAAAAAGAAAGGTTCGAGCGAGGTTTGAACTCGCGACCTTCTGCGTGTAAAGCAGACGTGATAACCGCTACACCATCGAACCGACAGTATCGTCAGCAGGGAACGAGAAAGGCGTGATGGTCAGAGTTGTGTAATGGAAAAAGATTTTATCAGAAATATATTTTATTTTTTATTAAAGATAATATTCGATTAGATTATTAATTTCAAGCAATGTCTGATAACCAGCAGTATTTATGATAGAACCGAATGACCTAATGAAAAACCAGTTTTTAGAAAATAAAAATGATATGATTGCAACTTTAATCAGTAATGTATCTGTCACAATAAAAGACAAAGTCAAGTCTAGTTAAAATCACAATGTCTAAAACCATTTCTTTATCTCAATGATAGTATAGAAATAACATAATCACTAACATTTATAATGCATGTCTCAACTGTCTATTACAAAGTAAGTTTATTACTATACATTACTTCAGCAAAAAGAATATCTTGAATCATGATTACATACCAGAAACAATTATATACACTTACTCGATTATGATCAGTGTTATTGTTGAGTATAATTATTCATAGTACTAAAATCATTGATAATTATTTCATTTAAACAAAGCTTTTATTTTCATGATGCATGCCCAGCTGAGTGTCTTGTTTACAATTGAAAAAATTGTGCAAATAGTCTAAGTACACCAATATGGAATACTCATTTCTGTTATGATGATCAACTAATTACTATATGTCAACTTACATGTACACGGAAATTAAAAGAAAATATTAATCAATTTCAATAGGTTTTCGAACAACAGTTTTCAAATTTCTGAAAAAAGGAAATTTTCGAAATTACTAAGACCTAATTACATAGTTTTTATGAAATTTCGCTAATTACAGATTGAAAAGAAAGAAATTTCCAGGAAATTGTATAGAACATTTCGGTAAGTCTCAGAAAACTTCTAGGACACTTTCAACATCAATATGGATAAATTTAGTTATTAGTCTATAACATAGTACAGAAGTTCACTCGCAAAAATAACTATAAGAATATCCGGTAATTTCGTCAATGACGGAAATTTCTTTAGTATTCAAATACATAAATGAACTTATAAGTCTACAAAATTATAGATACCTATTGACAAAACTATCAGACTTTTCTGTAAATTCTCATGTAATTCCGAAGTTTTCAGAACATACTTTCTCATGAATTAGTAAT